CAGGTCAAGGATATAATAGCCCAGTTCTTCTCCAGCAATTGTGAATGCTGCTGTTTTATTCACAGTGCTTAATGGACAGTTTTTCCTTTGTTTCGCATTTCCTCAATAATTCTTTCCCTTCGCAATGGCTGTGTGCCTGGATAAGAGTGTTTAGCAGCTGGGTCCTTCTCTCAGAGCATAAACCTGAGGTTGCCACTATTTTTTAAAATACTTTGTCATCATTGTATTTGCACACAATTCCAGCTTTGTATCCTGTAGTGGAGAAAATGGTCTCCTAATGCATTGTATTCTTCTACTAGTCTAATGATTGACCTAATTGAGGTTGAAAAGGAACGCTACCTGGATGAGGTAAGTCTTTACCTGTGTATTTGAGGGAAAGGGGAGAATGGCAGTGTGGATTATTTGACCAACCTTTCACAAATATCAGCCCAGAAAACTTAATCATATATTAAATTGAAATTTTTGAGGAAGTTGCAAAGATGCCATACCACAATACCAGAGTTTTCCCACTGAACACACTCTCCACTTGATGACAACTTCCTTTATATTGGATAAAGATGTAGCTGTGTTAATTCATTGGTTGCAGCAAAAATGCAAGGGAGTCTTGTGGTTTATCCCCCATAAATGCTTTAGTCTTGAAGTGTGACAAGGTTCCTGTTTGCTTCTCCTTTACACTGTTAACTGTAAGTGGAATTGTAGAAGACAGGTATACCATATTTGGGTCAGTATGTTGTATCGGTAGGTTATGATGATTCAAAGATACTTCAGCGTAACTAACCGTGTAGAGCTGTTGCATTCATGATTATATAGCCAGTTGCATAAACGATGTCCAAAAGGGCCTGACAAAGGAATGATTAACTAGTTACTGATGCATCTGCTTAGAATATCCCTGAAGCTAAATGTTGGAAATTCCATTTTAGCTTTACAGTATGGATTGTTTGATAGCCATCTGTCAGTCACAGTGTTGTCATATCAGGACATGATCATATTAAGTGCGAACAGTAAGCAATGACAGTGTCTGTTAATTTATTACTGAATGGCTTTACTTTACTTTTCATGGCATCAACTGACTTTATTTACAGTGGTTTACTTTGGATGAAGTCTCCAAAGGAAAATTGCATTTAAAACTCGAATGGCTCACATTGATGCCCACTGTAGAGACTCTTGACCAGGTATTGTTTTCAAACTGTTCTTTTGTCAGAAATTTAGACGTGTTGAGGCTGCCTTTATCTAGATAAAAATCAAATCCTGTAGATTTTCACTTGAAAAGCTCAGAAATTGGGAGTTTTTATTCTTGCATCCGATGAATTGAATTTTAACTGTTTTATCCATTTATATTGTATGCACTATGTGCCCTATGTAAGCCGCCCTGAGCCCGCTCGCGGGGAGGGTGGGGTATAAATGCAATAAAATAAATAAATAAAATATTTTATGAACTCCATAAATGGTAATCTGTGGCATCAGTTTCTAAACAATAATAAATGTTCAGAAGAACAAGGACTACTGGTCAGGATTGAGGATGATGATGATGATGGGATTTCTTTCCCTCCCTCCCCGCAAGCGGGCTCAGGCCAGGTCACAACCGTTAAAATACAAATATAGTAGTCAATCCAAATACAAGTCCAAATTCATACAAATAAAGACAGCAACAAATGGCAGAAAATTTCAGTTTCCAGTATCCACAGTGCTGGGCATATGCTGACAAGGATAAGGACCCACTCAACAGATGCCATAGCGATCTCTAGAAAGGGCAGTATAGGCTAGGGAGGCCAAAGGTATTTATATGTCTGCTGCCTCAACCAAAGGCCTGGCGGGGCAGCTCCGTTTTACAGGCCCTGCAGAATTCCATTAAATCCCGCAGGACCCCGCTCTCCAGTGGGAGCATGTTCCACCAACAGACGTGACTCAGCAGAGCACAAGGCTCTACGGGGCACACGGGGAAGAGGCGGTACCGCAGATATGTCAGTCCCAGGCTGCACAGGGCTTTAAATGTTCCCTCTAAGCTGTGGAGTCTTGTGAGCAAAAATTCTACTTTGTGAGCCACTGGGCATTAGAGTGGCGAGCGAGCAATTTGGCTACTGCATAAATTACTTTGCTCTAGAGCCATCCTTCCTGAGCTAAGACAAAAATTTGTGAGCCGGAGGCTAAAAAACGGTGAGCTAGCTCACACTAACTCAGCTTAGAGGGAACACTGAAGGTAAGTAGCATAACCTTGAACCGGACCTGGTACCCAATTGGTAGCTAGTGCAATTGTCGTAACACTGGCTGTATGCATACCTGCGCAGACATCACAGTCAGCAGGCATGCCGCCGCATTTTTCACTAGATGCAGTTTCTAGGTCAGAAGGGCAGCCTTGCGTAGAGTGTGTTACAGTAAGCCCCGCTCTCCAGTGGGAGCATGTTCCACCAGCAGACGTGGCTCAGCAGAGCACAAGGCTGTACGGGGCACATGGGGCAGAGGCGGTCCTACAGATATGTCAGTCCCAGGCTGCACAGGGCTTTAAATGTTCCCTCTAAGCTGTGGAGTCTTGTGAGCAAAAATTCTACTTTGTGATCCACTGGGCATTAGAGTGGCGAGCGAGCAATTTGGCTACTGCATAAATTACTTTGCTCTGGAGCCATCCTTCCTGAGCCAAGACAAAAATTTGTGAGCCGGAGGCTAAAAAACGGTGAGCTGGCTCACACTAACTCAGCTTAGAGGGAACACTGAAGGTAAGTAGCATAACCTTGAACCGGACCTGGTACCCAATTGGTAGCTAGTGCAATTGTCGTAACACTGGCTGAATGCATACCTGCACAGACATCACAGTCAGCAGGCATGCCGCCGCATTTTTCACTAGATGCAGTTTCCAGGTCAGAAGGGCAGCCTTGCGTAGAGTTGCGTAGACATCTAACCTGGAAGTCACCATTGCGTGGATCACTGTAGTTAATTCCCGGAAGAAGAGATAGGGAACCAGCTCTCTGACCAGCCAGAGATGGGTAAAAGGCCAATCTGACAGCTGTGTTGACCTGGGCCTCCATGGGCCGTGAGGTATTCTGGACCACCCCCAGGCTCTTGAACCTCGGCACCCGTGACTACGGTGCCCCACCAAGAATTGGGAGCCTGATTCCCGATCCACCCCACACACACACACACACAGAACTCAGGTACAGGACCTCCATCTTAATTGGATTTAATCTCAGCCAACTCTGTTTTAGCCACCCAGCCATGGCCCCCAGTGCCCTGTCCAAGGTTTCTGGGGAGGAATCCAGCCAGCCGTCTATCATTAGATAGAGCTGGGTGTCACCAGCATACAATTTCCTCTGGTTCAAAAGCTCTGCAGTTGACTCAGCCCAAAAAAATAGCATTTGGTATTCCATAGGAGATGTTGCTCTTGGAGGTGGTCCTATAAAAGAATTTTGTGGCGGACATTTTTACTTTGGAATGGCCATCATCAATATATCTAATTCTTAACATTGCCGAATCTGTGGATACTTTAATTCAGAGACTGGGACCCCAAACAGATAAGACAGATCTTTCTACAAACATGAGAAAAGCCCCAGGTCTACAGAAAAATCTGAAATCTTAAAACAATGCACTAGAAGCAGTTCCTGTAGCTTTAATGACTCTCAGTGGCTGTTGTTAGGCACCACAACAGTATTGCCAGTCTTCAAACTTTGGTTTGTATTAGTAAAGGTAGGGGGAGGGGACAGGGCCCTTTCTAGGGCTGTTTTGGCCTTTGAGGGAGGACTCACTTGGACCCGGGCTTGCCAGCAACCGCTGTGAGGGAAATCTGAAGATGGGAGAGTTTAAAGGTAGATTGGCTGGTGGGTGGGAAGGGAAGAAAGAAGCAGGAAAGGGGGAAGTCTGTGTGGGAAGTGAAAGAGGAAATAGTGGAGCAGGGGAAACGAGGTGCCCCCTCCAAGTCCTTGTGGGTCCCCTCTTTTTCGTACCTAATCCTAGATACATTTCAGAGATTCACAAAAACTTCGTTTTTGACAAAATACTGAGTTTGGTGTTGCAGACATCAAAATTGCTAGGGTTGATGTTCAGAAACCTGCTGTCTGCAAAAAAAGAAAAAAATTAAAAATCATTATTCGTTTTAAGTGATCCCTTTAAAGATGAGACACCAAATTTTAGAACAAATGGATTTAGTCTCTTTTCAGAGCAAACTTGTGCGTGTTCCTGTTTTGCTTCTGCTTTCCTAAATGGCACTTTTAATTGTCTCCACAAACCTTCCCCCATAAAATAATAGGTGATGGCTGGGACTGTGGTAATTCCAGATAGTGTTCTGGCACCCTTTGGTTCAGGGGTGTGTGAGTACTTTGACAATTTCCCCTACAAGTCATTGGTCTGGACCCAGAGTCATGCATGTGCAGCAGTGATCTTGTTCATGCCTTGTTTCTGAGATGCACTAGCGAGGCTGTGGACACATGGTTCAGCTGGCAGTGCTTGTGCAGAAGCCTGGAGTTTAGGAGCCGCGATATGGAAATCCTTCATTTATAGTACAAAATGTGCCGGAGCATCTGTCTATAAAGACCTTCTTCAGCAGCATCTGCCAAATCGAGGCCTCCCATTTGCCTGTCCAGGATGGGGAACTACCTGGCCCACATAGCAACACTAGGAATTTCTTCTGGTCTCTCTGGTAAAGACCACAGCGACTAAGGAAGGAAACCTAGAGCATTACCCAGAAGTGACATCATGCCACACCGAAACTCCACCCTCCCCAGCTACTTCCCCCCAAATCTGCCAGTATTTTCTGAGGCAACATTGAGAACCCTAGCCAGAACTCACAGGACTCAGATAGAAAGGTAGTAGATGACTGCAATGTACCATATTGGTTAACTGGGAGGTACTCCTGTCCCCCATTAATGTATAAACAGAATGCTACGGCAGGTGATGACTGTGTAATATGAGAAATAGCCTTTCTCTCTCTTACACCTGTGTGATTCTTTAAATTACTTTTGTTCATTCTGTTATTCATTAATGGGAGCAGAATTTTTTTAAAAAACATGTTTATATTGTGTGCTAATGTACATGTAGTGGATAGCTTTAGAGTTCTTTGTAGAAAATCCGTCATAAACAATTCAATAATTTTGACTTGTACTGTTTTAATTTTAGGTGCTAAAAAGCATTAGAGCTGATAAAGACCAAGCCGATGATGGGCTTTCATCAGCATTACTTATTCTCTATTTGGATTCGGCAAGAAATCTACCAGTAAGTCTCCTGGTGGTAACGATGCTTTTCCTGGGTGATTGTGAACTTTTCTTTAGTCACATGTTGCTTACTAGTATGCCACTTTGCCTCACTAATCCACATTATGCCATGTCTTTAACCGCATTTTCATATGCCTTCTGCAAAGCCAGCATCTCCCAAAGATAAACATACATTCTATGGTAGATTTTTTATTTTTGCAGAGCAGGTCATTCACTCATGTTTACAGAATGAAGCATTTGTGTTTTGTTGTGCTGTAAACTAATATTTCCTTTGATGCCAGAGTAAATACTTTAGAGCTGATGCTTGTGGACTTTTAAGACCAGTGATGCAGTCTTGTGCATGGTCAGGAGAAAGACCACTGAACTCATGAGGGCATGCTACTTAGTAAGCTTGCACAGGATCGCGCTTCACACTTCATTATTGCAAGCTACGTGTGATAAACCTGAAGACCAGATCCTGTAGGTATTTTGAGTTGACAATCATTTTGTGAAAACTTCATTTTCTAATCCTGAATTATTATAACTGTGTAAATCATGGAACTATGGCTGCAGTCAGTCAGACCCTCACAGGCAGGAGTGAATCTTGGCACTGGATTGGCTCTCTGATACTGTGGCCACCTCATGCACACATGCAGGATTATATGCACCCAGTTGAGCTTTATGGTTACTTAAGCTAAATAGCATCTCCTACTGCAGCACTGCAAGCAGGTTTCGGTGGACAAACGTAAAAAGAAACTCCACTGCATGTGCTGATCTCCTCACTTTTAAGTAACGAAAGTGGTAGTTTAAGGGCTGTAAGTATTCAGAACTTTAATGTGCATGTGATTTCTGAAGAAAATACAGCTATGTTATCAGTAAGGCAGGAATTCTTTCTTGGAAACCTTTAAACTGTAAAGATCCAAAAGTAGTGTTGTACACTAGACAGCTGTACCTGGGAGGAGGGTTGAGCTGAAAGACCAATATAATGTCATTAGCGTGTTCATGTACTGGAATGTGGGAGCTGCCCTTCTCATCTTAGTAGGCACCCTTCTGCATTTCTGGGAAACAGACTTTTGAGATCCTTGGGTTGGATTAGAGAGAGCTAATTCCTGGTTCCAAGTTTTTATATCTACACAGTGAATTCATTAAGTATGAAGATGTTGCGTGCTTTCACTTTTCTTAGTGTCTGTGGGAGGTGGTTCATTCCAATAAAGTTTAACTTGTGATGACAGTATTTTTAAAGATGAAATAAAACATGGATATTGGTGGCCTCAAAGTACATGCTGCTTACACTTGGGAGAATCCTATGTGTCTGTGCTATAGTTTAAACTGAGTAAACTGTTCAGGGATAAACTTATTACTTAGCTGTTAAGGCTGTGGTGTAGAAGAAGAAGAGGAGAAGAGATTGGATTTATACCCCGCCCTTCACTTGGAGTCTCAGAGCGGCTTACAAACTCCTTTCCCTTCCCCTCCCCACAACAGACACCCTGTGACGTGTGTGGGGCTGAGAGAACTCTGACACAAACTGCTCTTTTTCAAGGACAGCTGTGCCAGAGCTTGTGACTGACCCAAGGTCACATCAGCAAGTGCAAGTGGAGGAGTGGGGAATCAAACCCGGTTCTCCCAGATTAGAGTCCGCACACTTAACTTTTATACTAGATATAGTAAACTTCTAAACAGATATTACTTCCTAAATATGCCTTATTTATTAAAGTGCAGCTGATCCTTAGATTTTTTATTGTGTTTTGGGGATGGAGAGAATAGAAAGTCACAATTTCTTAAATCTGCTGTGGTTTTGGTGAGCAGCCCTTTAAGATTCCCCTTTTGTTGCATATATTTATAATAAATGTGTTTCACAGAAGGAGTTTGAAACTTTTGAATAAATCCTTTAGGGCATACTTACAATATATATATTGCTGCTTACAAATTGGGGCTGGCAATGCATATAGGTACATAGGATCTGACTGGATAAAAATGTCTCTAGGGTTAACTTATGTTTAAGTTAAAATTATACAGATATATAATCATTCGAGAACATTCCTGGATCAGAAATTTGTGTGAGCAAGCAAGAGATAAAAGCAAAAAGCGTGACTAGATTTTTTTTAGCAGTAGAAAAGAGTGAGTGTCCAGTAGCACCTTAGAGGCTAACAACATTTGTGGCAGGGTATTAACTTTCTCGAGTCACAAAAGCTCATACCCTACAACAAATTTTGTGCTACTGGACTCTTTTCTATTGCTACAGACTAACACGGCTACCCATCTTGACTTTTTTTTTTTTGGTAAGGCATTGAAAGTTTTCTTTGGAACTTTATCTTCCTCTTTATCTTGTCTGCACAATGAGGCCTCTCTAGTAATTTGTAGACATGCCACACTTGGGCGATTAAGAAAATTACATGGAATTGCTTCACAGAGGTCTAGAATACTTGGCCCATTTAACACGAACATTACCGTAGTTGTATGGAAGTACCTGTAATAAAAACCATTGGAAAGATGTTCGGTATGAAAGAAGGAATCAAACTGTCCCTAAAAGGGTTGTATGATTTGTCATTCAAATGGTATTGTAATATGAAAGCAATTGGGGAAACAGTGCCTTTCAGTGCTAATAACTTTTTGTGCCAATCAGTAATTTTAGACTGTTCTGACTGTTTTCCTTAACTGTGCTAAAAGTAAAGCTGCTTGTGCATTTATGCTGCCCCAATCCCATCACTCTCTGCTTTCTCCTTCCATTTCCATCTTCTTAAAGAGTATCTACGAGGGAAACTTTGGGTGTGGATACTTAAAAGAGAGGAGAGCATCTGGACTAGTCTTTTGTGAAAATACTACCTCACTCTATAGCACACTATTTGTGAGTTCTCGGGTGTTATATATATTATGTACATCCTTTTTTTTTAACCTACCAGAGTGGGTTGGTGCTGCTAAAACCCACTTAGTCCTAATAATGGAATGGCGGAGCATGCAATTTTTGTTTTCATGCATGGTTTTCAAGCGTGTGTTGTTATACTTTTACTGCATTCAAACTGTGCTATCAGCTTAGTTTGTTAGGTAAGTCATTTTAAAAGTTAGCATTCTTCAAAGATTAGCATGTTATTTCCCATTAGCCTGCGTGGTTCACTTGAAGAAATGTTGACATTTGCTTGCAGAGAAATGAAACTGTCATGAAGTGTAAAAGTCAGCCTCTTTTGTGATTTCTTTGAAAAGTTAATTGCAAGTATTTTGTGTGTTGTATGTGAAGAATCTTTCATTTGGCTCAAGCTGTGCACAGTTAAAGCTGAAAATTAATTGTGTTTTCCCCAAGTTCCCTGTCCTCTTGTAAAATCTTTTATGGTCCTTGGTAGGAATAATACAGCTTTTAAAAAATCTTAAATGGCCTTAAATCGTCATGGAGAAGTTGCCCTGCAGAGCAGGTATACCCAAGAAACCATAGGCTTATGAAATATTACAAAGCTAATTATGTCCTACGTATCAGGTGTCAGGATTTAGGGATTATAAAAGGTGAATGCTTCCTTCATATGATTAGAGTCCGTGTTTAGATTCCAGTCCCACGAAAGGCCTAAATACATGTAGTCATGTAATCAAAGCTAGAAAACATCAGACTGATGCACCTGTTTATATCTTCCTGTCCTTATTTTATTTCATTCAGATTTTATCCTGCCTTTCCTCTGAGGAGCTCAGGCAGTGCACATTGGTTTCCCAGTTGTAACGTCAAGGGTCCATTCATACATGAGTTTGTTTCCTTTGGAGTCTGACCTCAAAGGCAGCTAGCTTCATCGATCTTCAAAACAGTAGTTCGTTTTGGGACATTTCCCTGAGATACTGCTTCCTCTTTTCCCTTCTCTTTGTGAGCATAAAAATGCTTATAAGCAGAGGGTTGCAAAACAGTTGAGTCTTGCCCACCTCGATATAAACTTCACACATCCTTGCCCCAAGGTGCCATTTATTTTGGGTGATTTGATTCCCTCCTCAAACTTTTGAAATCTTTGCTGGGATTGTTGAGCTCTGATAAAGTATCACAAATACTCCCTTACAGTCTAGAAATATACGAATGCCGATTTTGGAAGAACTGTGAGACGTGTGGACGTTGTCCTGTGAGATGTGTGGACATTGTTCTGAGATGGGCTGTTAGGTGGGCTGGCTGCGCTGTCCCCTCTAAGCTGTGTGTGTGAGTGGCCCCTCATCCACACAGGAAGCCCCACTCATCAGCAGTCTGTAACTGCGCAGGGTCTTGCACTGCCCACTTTAAGATTACAGCAGTCATATTCTGCTTGGGATGTGAACTGTTGTGCTCAGTAGGGGAGGGGATTAGAGGGAACATTGGATGGCTCCCTGCTTTTCTTTTTCAGACATGATATTTTGAGAGGTTATTGTAAAAAAAACTTCGTAATGCTAATAATAATACAGGAGACGGTGCCATGTGTAGATCCCATAATGGTGCTGCAGCTTTATTCCTTGTTATTTGAAAAACGTAACACCTAAAGCTGTCGACAATATATCAGCATGAAACAGTGGCAAGAGTTCAGATTTAATTAATTTTTAAAATTTAACATGAATCTTGTACCATATTTCAGAAATGTCTTTTATGTGGAGACTGGCATTAATCTTTGGCCCATTCTCAGTACATAACAGAACCAGGTGGGGACCAAGATCACCCCATGGGATTGCACATACCCTGCCCTCTCACATTCAAATCGTCCAGTTTCTTCTACCTAACCCGTGTTGTGTATATGTGTTACCCAGTGAGGGATAAAATGCAGCTGGGTATCTTTCTAAACTCACTTTGAGAACTAAAGTTGACTTTGTGTTCTGAAAGTTGCCTTGATTCAAATTAGGCATTGGTTATGTTGAAACTGGACTGGAGGTGTGTGGAGAAAATTTGCACACAAAAGGGCAGGGCACAGAGTGTATGCTACAATAACGCAAGCTGGTTCTACTGTATGCCAGAATACCACAGTACATGCATCTCCTATACAAGCACAGTTCTCCATTAAGTGGTAAGCAGTTACCTCAGAAGCAAAAATGAAGACTAAGCTAGGAAAATCCAACAAGTTCATGGCACAGTTTTTAAAATGCCATTTCATCTAATTTATGAAGAGGTTCATGGCCAATATTAAAACCTTTCCATATTTCTGATTGTGTTTATGTGAATATAATTATTAACCATCTTGCCACATATGTATGACCTCTGAGGAAGGCCTATTTGGCCGAAACGCGTAAGGTCAACTTTTTAAGCCCTTGATATTGTTATGTTTTATATACATTGGTTGTAATTGGGCCCCTATATATGTTTTAAAATTTGTTATTATCAATAAATACATGTACCTTTTTTTATGGAAAGGTTTTAATATTGGCCCTCTTTTTCACTAACCTTTGTTTGGTTCTGGAGTTTATTGTTAGGTTCAGGTTTTTTCCCTTAGTTTTTGGCACAGTTTTTAAAATGCCATTTCATCTAATTTATGAAGAGGTTCATCTTTCTTCTTAAGATAACATTCTCTTAGTAGACGTTATAGTTCTTTATATGACAAGGACCTACAAGTTGCAATCCTTTCTGCCATCCATTTTTATTTTGATCAAAGCTGTTAGAGTGAAAAACTTTTTGAAAAGTCAACGCGAGCCAAAAGTTCAGCCTGATCACCAGCTTTAACACACAGTCATTGTGAGCTCATGCAGAATACTGGGAAGGCCTGAATTTTCCTTGTCGAGAAACAAATTGTATAGGAAGAGGACTTGGGGACAGGGAGATGATTTCAATTCCAGGCAGGCACAAGAGCAACTAAAAATGCTTTTTCTTTCTTTTTTTTAAAAATGCCTTACTAGCCATATTTCTGTTTCAGTGCGTTTATGGTTATTCTCGTAGCTCACATGGTGAGATGGTCCAGATTCCTACACCTCTCGTGGTGGATTCTTGTGATCGGTCAAGTTTGCCGATTGTTCTGCAGAGTAAAGCTGGAACTGCAAGGCTGAGAATCTCCCTTGGGCCAAGAAATCTGACTAAAATGGACCCAGTAGTCCAAGCCTGTCCCTTCTAGTAGAACTCCCTTCAATGTCATTCTTTAGGGGGTCCTTGTGACCATGGGGAATAAACACCTTCACTTCTCTATATTTACACATAGGTTTTAATGCCTGTTCTTGCCTGTCCACCCAAGTAAGAATTCTGGATCTGTTACTGTCACATGTAGGCTTGTCATCAGTTTCCTGCATGGCCTTCTTTCTCTCAAGCTTCTGCTGTACCCTGAGACAGTGTAGAGACAACTGGATGTGTCTGTTGACTTCATAACAAAAGAGCGTTTTTGTTTTTAAAAAGTCAAAATTCAGTTGCAATGGATTTCCCCCTTCAAACAGTTCTTTTCAAGGACAAATTTTTAAAGCTTGCTCTTCCTGTCTTGGATTACAGCATGATTGCAGAACTGTTACATTATTTGTGGTTTTGCGCAATGTGAATGCCATGGCTTTTAAAACAGAATTTGCCATTGTAGCATGTTCTGTTTTAAAAACTATGGAATGAAATAGCACCCTGAACTCCTCCCATTATAGTTTATTTTAAAGCCCTTCGTTAATTTGTGAAACAAACCCTTTCTCTCCACAAGCTAGCAATATTGCAAATATGCTTTAATGCTTTATGGCGTGTCCGTCATTTTCAGGGTGACGCAGTCATTACTGAAATAAAATGAAAAATTGTTTAGTTAATGGAAATGGTCAGAGGTCAGTGTAATCTTGTTTAAATCCATTCCTATTTCCACGGCCAATGCATCAGCGTATTTCTAATTCAAATAGGAAAGTTCGTTGTACTATAATGGTTTGAAAAGAATGTGCTGCCAAGAGAATAACAAGGGAAGAGCATATTAACCCTAATTGGGGGGGGGGAGCAGTGTTTGAAAGGTATCGAGGGAACGAGAACAGAAGGCTTTGTTATATTATTTGGATAACCTTTCCCTTATTTTTCCTCTGTTTGTCCTGAAAGTGTTTTGTTTGGTCTCCTGTTGTACATCCTTAATTAACCAAGCGGTACTGCTTTATTGCATGTTTTTATTAACCCTTTGTATGTTCATTCTCTTCTGATTTAAAAGAATAATCCATTAGATTATAATCCAGACGCCTTGAAGAAGTCTGCTGTTCAGAAAGCCCTAAAGGTAAAATAATAGTTTTCCATTTAAAGTTGCAGCATTAATTGGAGACATGGTTGTCTGCAATAAACTTTTAATGCCACCCAATGCATTTTTGTGCCGGAAGATCATAATAACTGGTACAAAGAAGGAAAGGCCAAACACAGTGATGCACAGTTTGTCAGAGAACAGATGCCAAACTGTCAGGGTTGCATTGTGTACATTAGAAATATCTGAAGAGTTGTATCAAGCAGAGAAGGTAATTGAATGGTGCTCTGTCACTCACCCATCCCTTGAAAATAGTAGACCCTCATGAGCAGTGCTGGGGGCAAAATGAGGGGTTCCAAATATTGTCCCACTCACCAGCAGAAGTGCCATTCTGCTAGCATAAGTGTTGTATTAGAGGAACAGTGCCTTTGGATCTAATTCCAGTTCTTTGATTAGAACTAAGCAAACTTCAAGAACAGAGCTCACATACTAGGTAGAACTACTAAACTCCACTGTTCATTATGCTTTAGTGGCATCATTCTGTGTTTTTTAAGGTACTGAATTTCAGAGAATTTTTCAACAATTTTTTACTGAAAGCCATTAGTGTCTGTTTTTGCCTTGTTCCAACCATCCGTTGAGTTCGTCAGTCACAATTCAGACAAATCATTTAAGGCACACCGATCTTAAAACTGAACTATATTGTGCCTGAGTGAGGATTAGTAAATTGCATTGAAAGATGAACTCTTCATAAGTCAAACTGTACTTGGGCAACAGAAATAAACAGAAACACAAACTAATTAGTGTTGGTAAATTACTTTTGGGGCTACCCTTGTATGCACAGGCTGGGATACACAGATGTGGTCCCCAGGTTGTTGCTAGCTGTGCTCATAATTCTGAAGAGGATTGGGGGAAAGGCTCTAGTATATGCCACCAAAGGGGAAAAAAATGTAGGCAACACTGGGAAACAGTATGCCCTTTTCAAAATGGCACTAGGTTGTGTGTGATGCCAGGACACAGTAGCAGTGTCAAAATTTGCTACTACTGCGCATGCCCTACCTGCTTCCCTTTCCCAGTAAAACTCATCAGTCAGGAGATGAGTAGAAAAGGACACTGGCTGTTAGAAAGAATGTCCAGTCACAATTTGTGGATCTCATTTTACGGGGATTTATATTTGCTGTAAAACAGTACAGGGGTTAAATGGGAAACGTTGCTTCCTTCTGTTTGTTTTCCTGGTATACTTAAGTCATTAAATTAGAAGTGTAAAAATCTGAGAAGCACCTAATTTTTGTGAGAAAGCAAAATATACAGAGATTCCCTCTATTGGAAAAGCTCTCGTATACGTCTGTACCTCCAGGATGATACAAAAATACATCTTTCGTATCCTTATGCTTTTTTATATGCTAAAGAAATGTTGGGCTTTGATCCTAACTGAAGCATTCAGGGAGACTAAATAGAGTAACTTTGAGAAAACTTGTAGATGGTAAGAAACAAGAAATAGAGTAATTGCTAAACAATCTGGATATTGGGGAAATATTCTTACAGCTAATATTTTGGGGGCATGTTCTAGGGAAGAGAATTTGAAGGACCAATTTAACTTCTCCTCAGCTGAACACTACAGATGGATTACAATATCATTTGTATACTTTAAGTACAAAAATCAGTTCTTTCATACGAAGTAAGAATATGTAGTCTGCTAGAAGTTAATACATCACACGATCTCGCATGATATCCATCAAATCTTAAACTGTGTTCAGTGGGGTAGAGTGAGCAGTAAAGAGCAGGATGTTAGAAGAGGTTAGATAGAGGGGCTAAAGCTAAACGCAAATCTCTTTTTACTCAGAATAACGGATGATTTATTGTTTAATCAAAAATACATGTTTGTGGTCCCTGTGCAATAATTAAGTTGAATCTAAAATGAATGTCTAACTTCTTGTTTAATCATGTTAATCTTTTCCTGGAGTCAAATTCCAATTAAACTATTAACAACTTAGATGGCAAACTTTTAATATTTTAACAGCATTACTGGATGCTCGAGCTTAACTCTTGTATGTACTTTTTGTTTTAACAAAAGATTTTCTTTGGTAGCTCAGTGCAAAGCGTGTTAACAGACATTCACGATTGGGAAATGTTTCCATTTCTTTCAAATGATTGTAAATCATTGTTTGTTTTTGCAGTTTGATCTAATGCTATACAACAGATGAGCAAGGCTCAGACATGACAGATGGTTGGTCTCTAGTATGAGTTGGGTAAACCTATAAGGAAATCTTAGTATGCCTTTTTCCTTTGCTGCCCACAAAAGAAGAAGTTTTATGGTTCCAGTGTACAGCTTAACCGTAATATTCCATCACACATCTATATACTAAGCTTTCTGAGTTTGCGCTTTCTCCATATCCCCCATTTGCATGCAGACTGCAACATTCATTTATTTGTTCTAATGTTGCTTCATTGGCTTTGGGGGTTGAAGTGCTTATCAAAGAATGAGAAGTTGAACTTTGTAAAACGGTTTAATTCAAAATGCATAGAACAGAGAATGCAGAAAGGAGTCTGAAGCCCCAGTGTGTGTATGTGTGTGTGTGTGTATACTATTTTTCATAAAACATTTCAAGGTAAGGATGTATGGGTATGTGATTTCTGAATGTGCATATACAGCTATTTGTAAAGAGTATTTTGTAGCTGTGGTCAGGAGACAGAGGGCAGAGTTAAAATGCCCTGATTGACTAAGATAGAAACCATAATAACGTGCTTAAAGAAGGTTAATTTCCTCCCCTCCTCTTCTGCAGTCAGGAAAGAAAGTTAACAGCAACCCCAATCCACTCGTCTCATTGACTGTTGGAATCAAGGAACAAACAAGTAAGGTAAGCTTCAGCCACCTAAATCTGTCCCAGAAGCTTTGCATGTTTCTTGCCCATATAAACTGATATTTTTGGGACTAAAAAGCAATTTGGCATCGTCATTCCTCAGCATCAGCTTGCATAATGGCACAGCCTTGTTGGCATATTCTCCACTGTACCTTTAATTTGTGAACCACCACCCCATACAACACCACACATCTGCTTGACAGAGTGTATCTTGTGAAAATTATATACAGTAAATCAGTGATCCCAAAGTAAATCATACTTGTATGAACTGGAAGAACTTGCCATAATCTCTGAAACAAATTAACAGAGAGCTTGGACATAGTAATTAAGGAATGGGAATGAACCCCCCAAAAGCATTTCAGTTCGGGGCAGCTTCCAGACCAAACCAAAAGGGCCCCACCCAAACCGAGCTGGTCTGGCAAGTTCAGTTCCCCCTTTCTCCTGGCCACGGCGAGCCATCAGTGAGAGAAAGGAGGTGGGGACCACCCTGGAAGGGACTTCCCTTCCATGTTTCTCCTGGCTGTAGCTCACCGGGGCCAGGAGGAAGGGGAGGGATGCCTGGGAAGGGTTAAATGGCTTGCAGCCATTTAACTTGTCGGTTTTGCTTCCCCTCACTTCAAGGGGGGAGCAAAACCAAGAGGTTTAATGGCTCACAGCCATTTAAGCAGTCGGTTTCACTTCCCTCTGCTTTGAGAGCGAAACCAAGGGGTTTAATGGCTCTCAACCATTTAAACCTTGACAGTTCACCGGGTCTGCCGGCCAGCTGTTAGGTTTAAATGGCTGGCAGCCATTTAACTGGTCGGTTTCACTTCCTCCCTTTGAAGGGGGGAGCGAAACTGATGGGTTTAATGGCTTGCAGCCATTTAAACCTAACAGCTGGCCAGATGACCCCATGCCACTCAGCTGTCAGTTTTAAATGGCTGGCCAAACCAAACCAGCCACAAATCTGGAAAATATTCAAGGAATACGCCTTCTGAACATTCGCTAACTGCGAACCAGCCCAAGTTCAGTTCATGAACTGGTTTGTGCCCATCCCTAATAGTAATCATTTCTGTGATCACAGTTGCTGGGGAAAGTGTTACCAGTATCACAGAAATGGCTGGTGGCTGTTGTGGACTGTAATAGGGAAAAGCATGGAGATGTCTTCTCGTAATCCTATACATGGGAGAGATTACACAGAACAAAATACAGCTGCCCAGCTTGTGTATATGAACTGAGCAGGGACTGAATTAGACAACCAGTGCAGCTGCTGCATCAGTATTATCAATGTCCCAGTAAACATTCCCAAATGCTTACCAGGCCATAATTTCAGTGAAACCACAGCTTTTCTTGACAGAGGAGTTCCTATTTTGTCGAGCCTACTCAGCAGCTAGTTTCTTGCCATGAAAAAGGTACATTAAATCAAAGGTAAATGCTGGAAGTGTGTATTGTAACACATCATGAATGTTTTTCTGTTTACTGATTCTATATTCCACCATTCCTTCAAGGAACATAGGGTTATGTTAGGGTTGGGGGGTTTTTTAGTTCTCTTAATGACCTTGTGAATTAGGTTAGACTAGATATGATTACTTTCCCAGGGCCACCTGCAGTGCCATCCTAAGCAGAGTTATATCCTGGTAAACCCATTGACATCACTGGGTTTAAAGGGTGTAACTCTATTTAAGTTACTTAGCATGAACAGGTTTTGAACTTGCCTGTGTTGAAGCCCACACAATTTAGCAACACCAAACTGGCCCTACAGTAGACTGGTAACGAAGTCTCAGATTATTTCTAATGGACATTTCACTAAACTGGCTGTGAGCTTTCATGTTTAATTTTGTGATATGGATGCTGTCCTTTTTTCAGAGAGTACACATGAAAGTCCCAAAGCAATTGTGGAAGCTGGGCTTATTTTTTTACCTATGAATTCTAACAGAAATCTTCTACCCTAAATCCTCTTGCAAATAGATTCGCTACAAGACCAATGAACCTGTTTGGGAAGAAAACTTCACTTTCTTTGTTCACAACCCCAAGCGACAAGAGCTAGAAGTGGAGGTAAATGGCTCTTGCTTTTCACTCTGTGATCTCTGCCTCCCATGTCTAGACTAAGCCCAGCCTTTCTGTCCCAGAGTAATAACTTCGGGTACCCATGAGCTATCGCCCAGTTCCAGTAAAGCCCTACATGGCTTTGGACGGAGGTGTCTGGAGGACTGCCTTCTCCCATGTGTTTCTGCCCAGGAACTAAGATCACAGGGAGAGGCCTTCCTGACTGTCTCACCAATCAAAGAGGCTCATCTGGTGGGCAGGCGAGAGGGGGGGCATTTTAGTGGCGGCCCCACCATTATAGAACAACCTCCCCAAGGAAGCGTGCCTGGCTCCCTCATTGTCAGTCTTCAGGATGCAGTTGAAGACAGCTTTTTCATTTATTGGCAGACCTAATTGTAGTTTTGAAATTGTTGAGTTTTATGGTGTTTATAGTTATTGTTTTATTGTGTTTTAAAATAATGTTTTGCTTACATTGTAAGTTGCCGTGAGTTCCCAAGGAAAAATGATAAACGTTAATAAATGTTTTAAATAAATAAATAAATAAATGTTTCATTATTGTTACAGTACCTACATTAGCATGAGTAATGTAGTCTTGGATATGTCTCTTCCACTAATGCTGAATGTTTTACCTAATGCACAATGTAATGATATTTTGTATAGCTTGATCACAGAATATTTGGCTTTTGGTATCATAGAATTTGGTGAGGTGGATGTTTGTCAATAAATTAGTCTGAGATGACCAACTAATACCAAACTAAATAGCTGCTGGTGGGTTTTGTTTCAGGGTTTTTGTGTTGTTGTTGTTGTTGTTTTGCTTGAATTCATTATTTTCATGGTTAATCCTTTCAGGAGGATTAAGACACTTTAATAAAATATGCATTCTACTCTGCTTCTCATGCAGTCAATAGCATTTCGTGAAGAAGTATGGAGTGGTTTGTGAAAAGGGGATGTTATTGTAAAATGTATCTCTTTGTCTTCGTGAACTTGAGGTTGTTGTTTTTTTAATTACCTCAGTGTGATGTATTTCATCTCCTATTCCTGTAGGTCAAGGATGATCAGCACCAGTGCTCCTTGGGATATTTCAAGCTTCCTTTAAACCAGCTCCTGGCAAGCGAAGATTTAACTATGCATCAGAGATTCCATCTTAGCAACTCTGGTCCAAACAGCACTATAAGCATGAAGATTGCACTCAGGGTACTGTAATTGTCTCTTTTCAGTGGTGTGGATCCGACCATCCCTCAAGGAGCCTTCCTTCAGCTTAAGTGGCTCTTCCTCTAATGGAAGTCCCAGTCCCAAGAAATATCCTTGGGTGGGGCGCGCATTACTTCCTTCCTTTTGTGAGAACTGTTATTTTACTCCTGCCCTCTGCTTCCTATTGCTTAAGCAGTTACTAATTATAAAAGAAGCTTATGCCACAACTACTTAATCCTTGCTGAGTGACTTTTCTCAAAAGATTTTTGGAAGCCCAAGAACACATTATCTAGCGGAGGATCACTCGTACGCCTGCTATTAAACCGTCTTGGAGGACTCCAAAAGATTTTGATGCAGGTCTTCCCTTTTTAGAATCTCCAGTTAAGAGACTCTTGAACAACAGGACTGTAAAAGACCTCTGCTTAGAAGACCTGGAAGACTCAGTTGGAGGGGAAAGTGCTGGGCGAGACGAACCAGAAGTCTGACTCAGACTGAGGCCGCTTTGTGTATTTATAAGTTTTAAGTAGCCCCATGGGAAAAGGAAGCTCTGTAAACTATGGAAAGAGCTTGTCTAACTTCTTTTGGTGAAAACATATCTGATGAAGTTGCTAGGTCAAATATTAAAATTAAGGCTTGATATAGTCAGGATTCTTATACAATCAGTTTGCATCAGTAGATAGTTTTTCTGATGTGACTGAAGACTGGTTCCATCCTTACATAGTATAGGAAAGGTAGCATTGTAGACCCCTAGGCCCACTTCCCTCCCTTGTTCCTTTCCAGATTCACAGTGTGATACTAGATGTGTGGGGCAAGCTGGATTTGTTTCTTTTAAATGCTTATAGATACTAAAAACAGACAAGCTGGGTTTGTACCACAGTCAGAGTACAATCCGGTGTCATTTAACAGAAGTCACATGGAACTCTAGTTTACTGAATTTCTTCTCCAGTTTCTCATGCTGGAGTAGAAAGTAGAAGATGGCAAGTTGCACTGTTTTTATGATGGGAATTGCACTGGGGAATCTTTCAGTGATCTCTATTCAAAAGTAAGTAAACAGTGTGAGTAGTTGGCTCACAGGTCACTCCACTGATGCAGTCTTGTCCCTGGTTAACTGGATGGATTGGCTGCTTTATAACCTGTTTTTGTAGATTAGTTTCTCTTAATAGGTGGATTTTGCAGCAGTTGTTACCTTCAAGTGTCCTGTAAACTCAATACAAATAAATGTGTGCTACCTTCTCTACTGCAGCAGAAAACTAATGTGGTGGTCTTTGTTCTAATGCTTGTAGATCCTTTCTCTTCAAAGACAAGACAGGCCTGCAGACTACCAACACTCGGCCCAAGTGAAGAGGCCCTCTGTTTCCAAAGATGGGAGAAAAGGTTCTTTCAAGCCTCAGATCCCTGTTTCTTCGCCAGCTGACTCGAACAAGCCTGCCCCTGCTTCCACAGTAACAGACACTGAAAAAAAGAGTGATGTGGTTGAAAAAAGTCATCCCCCTAATCCCAGTCCTCAGTGGCCAACAGATCTCAGCAGGAGTTCCTCCAGCCTCCTGGCCTCCAATCTGAGCTATTCGCCCAGCCATCTCTCCATCAAAGAGCCTACTCCAAGTATCGCCTCGGACATATCACTACCCATCGCTACTCAGGAGCTACGGCAGCGACTAAGACAACTTGAAAAGTACAATCCTAATTTTTTACATTACATATTATGTACATGAGAGAAGGGGAGAGGGAGGGACAGAGAGGGAGAAGGGGGGACCTGTAGGCTTGTAAGGAGCCAGAGGTGCATGTCATGACAAAAGAATATAAGAGAAGCCAATGTTGGATCAGGCCAATGGCCCATCCAGTCCAACACTCTGTCACACAGTGGCCAAAAATACCAGGTGCCATCAGGAGGTCCAGCGGTGGGGCCAGGACACCAGAAGCCCTCCCACTGTTGCCCCCCCCCCCCAAGCACCAAGAATACAGTGCATCACTCGCCCCAGATCGAGAGTTCCTATCTATACCTTGTGGCTAATAGCCACTGATGGACCTCTGCTCCATAGGTCTATCCAGTTTCCTCTTGAAGCCGTCCATGCTTGTAGCCGCTGCCACCACCTCCTGTGGCAGTGAATTCCATGTGTTAATCACTCTTTTGGTGAAGAAGTGCTTCCTTTTATCTGTTCCAACCCGACTGCTCAGCAATTTCATGGAGTGCCCACGAGTTCTTGTATTGTGAGAAAGGGAGGAAAGTACTTATTTCTCTACTTGCTCTCTCCCATGCATAATCTTGTAAACCTTGATCATGTCGCCCCTCACCCATAGTTTCTCCAAGCTAGAGAGCCCCAAATGCTTTAACCTTTCTTCATGTTGCTTTGCAGTAGAACAGCTGGGTTCCAGTCGCATGGCACATTAGAGAACAACAAGATTTTATTTTGGGGGGTATGAGCTTTGACTCTTGAAAGCTCATATCCCCCCAAAATCTTGTTGGTCTCTAAGGTGATACTGGAGTGGAATCAATCTGAAGAGGAGGAGTAGGAGATTGGATTTATACCCCACCCTTCAGTACCCAAGGGAGTCTCAGAGTGGCTTACAAACTCCTTTCCCTTCCCCTCCCCACAAAAGACACCCTGTGGGGTAGGTGGGGCTGAGAGAGCTCTGACAGAAACTGCTCTTTTTCAAGGACAGCTCTTATCAGAACTATGGCTTGCCCAAGGTCATCCAGCAGCTTCATGTGGAGGAGTGGAGAATCAAACCCGGTTCTCCCAGATTAGAGTCCGCACACTTAACCACTACACCAAACTGGCTCTCAATAAGTTGCCTTTCTAATTCCTAAAAGTACAAAGCAAAATATGTGCAATGGATCATTCATAAGCCATACGCCAAGAAGAAATATTTAAGAATGAAGAAGAAGAAGAGATTGGATTTATACCCCGCCCTTCACTACCCAATGGTGTCTCAGAGCGGCTTACAAACTCCTTTCCCTTCCCCTCCCCACAACAGACACCCTGGGAGGTAGGCGGGGCTGAGAGAACTCTGACAGAAACTGCTCTTTTTTTCAAGAACAGCTGTGCCAGAATTATGGCTTGCCCAAGGTCATCCAGCCAGGTGCAAGTGGAGGAGTGGGGAATCAAACCCGGTTCTCCCAGATTAGAGTCTGCGCACTTAAACACTACACCAAACTGGCTGAAAACCAACAGCAAATGAGAATTCAGCCAGTTTGGTGTAGTGGTTAAGAGAGCGGACTCTAATTTGGGAGAACCGGGTTTGATTCCACACTCCTCCACTTGCAGCTGCTGGTGTGACCTTGGGCCAGTTGCAAGTGCTTTCAGAGTTGGTCTTTCAAGGGCAGTTCTCGAGAGAGCTCTCTCAGCTCAGCTCCACCTGCCTCACAAGGTATCTGTTATGGGGAGGGGAAGGGATTGTAAACTGCTCTGAGACTCCTTCGGGTAGTGAAGGGCAGGGTATAAATCCAATCTCCTCCTCTGCAGTTTTACTCCTTTTTTAAAATTAGAATCTCAACCGTAGTCAGAGAATCTAAATCTGAGTTTCCTAATATTAGCATACTAGGAGCTGCGGTGGCTCAAGTGGTTAAGACGCTGAACTGCAGGCTGTGGAAGGTCGGTAGTTCAGCAGTTCGAGACCTGAGTATGCCACATGACGGAGTGAGCTCCCGTCTCTAGTTCCAGCTCCTGCCAACCTAGCAGTTGTCCCAGCATAAGCACACAAAGCTTTATTTATACCATCAACAGAACTTCAGTCATTAAAACAAATATATAGCAATGGTACACTGTTTAGTTATGCCGGCCACATGACCACAGAAACGTCTTCGGACAGCGCTGGCTCCTCGGCTTTGAAACGGAGATGAGCAACCCTAGAGTTGGATTTGACTGGCTTTCGAGCAAGGGAACCTTTACCTTTACTTTAACATAAGCATTAGAAGGAATATATGAGTTAGATAATAGCTGGTGGTATTGATCTGCAAACAACAATAAAGCCTGTTTCACCATGACATGGGTGAACTGAACTTGCAGTAGTAGCCAAAAAGAATATTTGTTGCTAACGTAAACAAATGTACTATTCAGGGCCAGATTCTGTGTCAGTTAAGTGTTGACATTCTGATGATTTTTTTTCCACTTTAGAGGCTAAAAAATTTGTCCCCGCTTAAGCAACAAAAAGCTTTATTTATACCATCAACAGAACTTCAGTAATATAGTCATTAAAACAAATATATGGCAATGGTACATGTATGATCAACAGAGTTCTTTCAACATTCAGGATCAATGGCTGTACTGAACAAACCACTTTTTCAGTGATGTCTACATTGTCTCTGGCAAGAAAAGGGGTGACTATCTGCTCCGCTGCATGGCCTGGTACCATAGCCAAGAACGGAGCACTTACGTAATCTCTAGCTTATTTATAATGATTGCAAAGCAGCACAAGGGTCTCCATAACCCTCACACCACAAGGACAGTCGGTTATTTGGAGAGATGTGGTTATAATGACCCTCAGAGATTGCTGATGGCAAAACGTACAGTGTGGTAATGTAGAACCTCCCCTGTATTGTGATAACCTTTTTAAAAATAGCTTTTGCGCATTTCTTAAATCCTGGAAAGTTTAGATCCAACGATAGAGGTGGACAAGATCACCATGCCACAGCATGCATATTTTGGTCATCTGTATCACAGATCCTTTGCCTGGGCCTTCTCCGGTCTACAGTCAGGGCGACGTCCTTATAGTTATATTCCACTTTGCCGATCTGCTTTAAAACTGACCCAAATAAAATACCCTTCTGATTGGTGCCTCAGTTTGCTTTTTCTGATGGGAGCTTCAGGCTTGAGCCGAGGAGCAATGTAAGGATCCCTTTTATAGGGGAACAGCCCCACCAATGACACAATGACTGCAAACAGTCTGGCTGGGGGAGGGGAGTGTTTATGCACTTAGTTTGTGGAGGTCAACAGAAGATCCTTGGTGAGATTGCAAAAACTCCCGCCTTCCGCCTTTGCTCCAATCTAATTGGCCGCCTCCTTTGCCCCGCCCATCAGCAAGCGCTGGCGGAACTCTCTCTTTGAAAGCCATTCTGCTAGAACTCTCACAGGGAGCACACGGTTCTACTTTCCACCGGCTGACTATTTTTAAGGATTTTTTAAAAATAATTTTTTATTAAAAAGAGCAAAACAGCATAACGGCAGTTTCATACATGTCATAAAAATATATCATTTAAGGATTTTTTTAAACCATAGCTGAGGATTTTCTCGTTTTGCATGGAAGGACTTGAGAAAATGGGATCTCTCTCTCTCTCTCTCTCTCTGTCTTTCTCTGTGTGCGTTTTAAAAAAACCCTTCCTCTGGTGCTGTTTTCCACCACGGCTCGGGTGGGTGGGGATTCTCTGTTAGCATGCTGCATGGCTTAAAATGGAAGCTAGAATCCAATGCTGTGGGGTGTTTTCCTGGTAAGTTTTTTCCTCCCTTTGCTAAAACTTTTAGAAGGAGCCTGCGTGTACCTGTTTAAACTGTGTAACTGCGTGTAACTGTTTAAACTGTGTTTTTTGTAAAAAGCTGTTTGCGTTTTTGAAGGGAGCTGTGAGGGGAGTCTACACTCACAACCAGATCTGCTGCTCCTGTAAGGGAGGGGCTGTTTGCAAACTAACTAACTCTCTCTCTTTATTTTATGCGTATGTGTTTCAAATTAACACTGCTTTCTATGGGTTAAAATTGTTAAAGCTGTTTGCTTTTTGAATGCATAAATTTGCTCTCTCTGCTTGCTGCTTGCTTTGCTGGTGGGGGTTTTAAAGGAGGCTGTGAAACCCTGCCTTTTGGAGGGTCTGTGCACTCTTTTTCTCTCTGGGGCTTGCATTTTAAAAGGGGGACACTTTCCCCCCTCTCTCCAGTAACAGAGGAAAACCCTTGCCAGTTCTCTGTTTCAAAAAATACAAGTTTGCAGTAAGCACACACACAAACCCTCCTTCCCTTGTACAATTTTTTTAAAAAAAACCCCACAGAGGCTCACTGTTTTTCTTTCTGGCATTTTTTCTGACTGAATCATAAGCATTTCCTGTACAGTGCAGCCTCCTCCATTCCAGACAATAGCGAGGAGGGGGGGCAGCTGTCAAATCGTTTCCGGGCGATTGAATAAAAGAAGTATATGCCCCATTACTACTGTGAGTTAAAACAGCACTTTTATATGACTATTCTCAGAACTTGTTAGTGACAAGTATAATAGTTTAGAAATCTGAAGAGCTATCGGCAGTTTTTTAAAAATACAAGTTGTCTACATTTTTATGTCAAGTGTGTGTGAGGTAGCTTCTTTGGCTGTCTAATATTGATTGCTGGTATTCTGATGCTTTTCACAGTGGCACAACATTAGGACAGTCTCCGCTGGGGCAGATCCAGTTAACAATTCGTCACAGTTCACAAAGAAATAAACTCATAGTGGTGGTACACTCATGCAGGTAGGTATAATGCGTCATTCAACAGTTATTTTGAGGTTTGCCTTTGGCTTTCTCTAAATTATCTACATGTTCATCAGTAAGGCAAACATAGATCAACCACTGGCTTTGCTGATGCTTCAGTGTTTGTATTTCAAATGAAGGAAATCAATTCTTTTTTTTTTTTTTAGGGTACTAGTCTCTACCTGAGGTTTTGGAGCTGCTATCAGTCAGTTTGCTGTGCTGGACTAGATGGATCATTGCAGTGAATCCAGAATGAGGCAGTTTATTTTATAGCTAACTAATAGCAATCCCAGTCCTGCAAAATGTGATATGACGCACTAATTGTGCTCTGTCATTATTGACCTTTTCAGATACTCTGTATTTTAGTTTGTGACCATAATGGTTAGAAGCCATTTTTAAAAAAGCTGAGATATTACTGGATCCATTCCAGTTTGGCTTTCTCCCTGGCCATGGGATGGAGACGGCACTGGTTGCCCTCACAGACAATCTGCGCAGGCAGCTGGATCAAGGTGGGTTGTTGCTGCTGCTACTTCTCAACCTTACAGCAGTGTTCGACATGGTCGATCATGATCTCCTGACCCATTGCCTTGCCGACGGCGGTGTTTGTGGGGTAGTCTTGAAGTGGCTTACCTCATTTCACCAAGGTGGCACTAGGGGAAAGGGTGTCTCCTAGGCACCAATTAGTATGTGGGGTCCCTCAGATCATTCCTCTCCCCGATGTTGTTCAACATCGATATGCGTCCCCTTGCCCAGTTGGTGCGGAGTTACGGGCTTGGGTGTCATCACTGATAACACCCAGCTGTATCTGTTGATGGGTGGCCAGCCGGATACCGCCTCATTAGTTTTGGCAGAAAGTTTGGAGGCCGTGGTGAGATGGTTAAAACAGAGCTGGCTGAGATTGAATCCTACTAAGATGGCGGTTCTGTAGCTGGGCAGGGAGGATTCAGGGTTGAGGTGCCAACTTCGGGCTCTTGATGACATGCCCTTAACACCGGCTCCAACTGTCAAGAGCTTGGGCGTGATTCTGGATGCCTCCTTGATAACAAATGTTGCCAGACTGGTGTTCTTCCAACTACGCCAGGTCAGGAAGCTGGCACCCGACCTGTCCTGCCCTGCCCTAGCCACAGTAATCCATGCAACGGTTACCGCCAGATTGGACTACTGTAACTCACTCAATGTGGGCCTGCCCTTGAGACTAACCCGAAAACTTCAGCTGGTCCAGAATGCAGCAGCGTGGGTCCTCACGTGAACCCCTTGAACAGCACACATTCAACCTGTGCTGTGTGAGCTTTAACGGTCTAGAACCCACACACCTTCAGGACCGCCTCTCCTGGTATTCCCCCAAAGTGCATTATGCTCTGCTGATAAAGAACTTGTTTGCGGTCCCCAGCCCAAGAGAGATCTGGCTGTCCTTGACCAGGGCGAGGGCCTTCAGTGCCCTGGCCCCAACCTGGTAGAACTCTCTGCCAAGTAACATCTATGCCCTGCTGGACTTCAAGAATCATAAAATCATAGAGTTGGAAGGGACCTCCATGGCAGGGTCATCTAGTCCAGCCCCCTACACAATGCAGGGAATTCACGAATACCTTCCCCTCCACACCCATAGGGGCCGCTGTTCCACGCCCAGAAAATGACAAAAAACCTCCAGGATCCCTGGCCAAACCGGCCTGGAGAAAAATTGCTTCCTGACCTCAAAGTGGCGATCAGCATTTCCCTGGACGTGTAAGAAAGGGCCACAAGAACTAAGCACTGAGGCAACCCTTCCTGCCCCTCCCTCTCATGATCTGCCTAAGTTCACACAATCCGCGTTGCTGTCAGATGGCCATCTAGCCTCTGTTTGAAAACCTCCAAAGGAGGAGAGCCCACCACCTCCCGAGGAAGCCTGTTCCACTGAGGAACTGTTCTAACTGTCAAGAAGTTCTTTCTAATGTTGAGCGGAAAACTCTTCTGATTTAGTTTCAACCCGTTGTTTCTGGTCCGACCTCTCGAGGTGACAGACTTGATGCAGTTCTGCTGGGCATGTAAGGCAAAGTTGTTCTGCCAGGCATTCAGTGTCCATTCTGGCTGGCAGTGTCCGTCCCCCCCGCCCCCCCAAGGTGGTAGCATAATTGGAAATCTTGATCACCATCTGATTTAATTTGACTAAATTTTATTGTAATTTAAAATGTTTTAACCGATATGGTATGTTGTGTTATCAACTATTGCTCACCGCTCTGAGCCCTGTTCACAGGGAATGGGTGGTATAAAAACCAAATTTAATAAATTAAAAATGAATATTAAAAGCTGTTAGTATCTCTAAAAGCTGTTCACTGAGCAACCTGCAGGAAGATGTCAGAAGCTACAGGCGATAAATTTTGCTCTCACAAACCAGGAGATTTGCAGTTACCAGATTAAGATCTGAATTAAATCTTCAAGATCACAGAGAATAAAGCCTTCATTTAGTTAATGCTACTACTAATCTATAGGGTAAAACTCTGCATTTCAGCGGTGTGGGGGGTGCTTTGTGATGTCTGGGGTAAGAACTGGGAGGCCGTGGGTTGGATCTAGTGATTTGTCAGTGGAAGGCTCTCATGGTTGCAGATCTTCCCTGCTTTCCACTCTTCTGCAGCGTCTCTGACCCAGGGGAAGTTGATTCCTGGGGTTGCAGGACCCCTGTGGAGTAATGGCCACATGGGTTGGTGGGCTACAGTCAGAGGGGGACGTTATCACCATTCCTACCTTTTCCCAGGGTTAAAAATGGCTGCTGGAGGAGTGGGGAAGACCCAGAGTCCTTGAGTGTGCAGATCACTTGACCCAAGCCAGTAGTTTATCACCTCCTATTTTCTGTCTATAATAACCCACATTTGAGGTGGTGGAGAGGAGTGGCAGGCAGGGTGAGGCCTAGTTCACACAGGCAAGAAAACAAGGTCATGAGGTGGCAAAGCCTTGAGGTAGTAGAATGCCCTCGCTTGCTTTCCTCCTACATAAAGGATACTTGCCTGATAGAGGTTATGCCGCAGCTGGCTTTCAAGGTGGGGCAACTGGGGGAATGGAGGGGAAGCGCACACATGATCAAATTATTTCTGCAAGCATAGTGAAGTGGAGAGTTGTCAAAAAGCCATATGAATAAGTCAGCAAAGCTCACACGTGCAGGAGAATGTTTTGGAGGAGATCAGAGGCAGAAGAAAGAAGAGTTTCAGACTGCAGGCACAGGACCATGAAGGCTCATATTTTGAGACGCTCCCCTATGGTAGGAACTCCCTGCAAGTAGGAAACCAGCACAGAGTGGGGAAAGCTTCCTTTTTGTGTTCTAGTTTTCTATTTGCATGGAGTTTTAAATGCAAGGAACATGCAAACCTGGAATCTATCACTTCTAGTTTGCCCTAGTACAGAGACAGCTGTCCTAACAGGGCAGGTGTTGAGAGCTGCAGGTACTCTGTTCTGATCTGGTTTTGTTGTCTTTGGTCACAGAAATCTAATCGCTTTTTCGGAGGAAGGATCTGACCCATACGTCCGAATGTATTTGTTGCCTGACAAAAGGAGATCAGGAAGAAGAAAAACAAGTGTTTTTAAGAAGAATTTAAATCCGTTATTTGATCAAAGGTGTGTTGCCATATCCTTTTGTTGGTTTTACAACACTGAGTGGATAAAATCATTAAACTGTTTTTGCATCCACTGAAGTAGAACGTAGACCTTCCTTCACCAAACCAGTTTGAAGAGTCCTCCTTGTATTTTCCATCACGTTCTGATGGCTTCAGATGTTGGCAAAACTACGAGAAGAGAAAAACTATTTGTGTTATCCATTAAGTGTCAATAGCTTGTTTTTATTCGTATAAATATTGAAATAAGTTTGAACCGTGAGCAGTGTTCCGTCTAAGCTGAGTTAGTGTGAGCTGGCTCACAGTTTTTTAGCCTCTGGCTCACACATTTTTGTCTTGGCTCAGGAAGGAGGGCTCCAGAGCAAACTAATTTATGCAGTAGCCAAATCGCTTGCTCACAGCTTTAATGCCAGTAGCTCACAAAGTAGAATTTTTGCTCACTAGACTCCACAGCTTAGAGGGAACATTGACCATGAGTGTTTGTGCTGGTGCGAGCACAAGGAAATATTTTTGTTGTAGAAGATAAACGGTAGGCAAAAATATCATATATATCCACTTAGAATGGTGTAAATGGATGCAAGTTTTAGAGTTTCATAGAATTCTTCAGGCAGAAAAAAACAATGGACTGGTAATAGACTATTCGCCAAGGTAAAAACTTGTATTTGTTGGCAGGGGCTATCTGCAAGATGAGGTCACAAGTTTTGAACCCGTGTATATTTATGTGGCTTCATTGGCATTAGAGATGGTTGCAGGGGTTCTTGTATCCTTTGTCTTGATTTAGTCCTTGGTCTGTTATGTTCTAAAAAGGAGATTAATTTCATTTCCCAGGCACCCCTTTGAAAATCCTTATGTAGATCTTATGATGAGGACAAAGAGATTAGAAAGCAAATGGTTTTGCAGGGGAAAGTACTCAGGTCTCTTTTTGTAGAAAAAACCCAGCAGGAACTCATTAGCATAATAGGCCACACCCAACAGCAGAAACTCATTAGCATATTAGGCCACACCCCTGCCAGCACAGCTCATTAGCGCATTAGGCCGCACCCCCATGTTACCAGAAGTGTTCTCATCCAGCCACACCCACCTTTTGCTTGTTATTCTGTTTACCTTGTTTGTTGTCAAAACCCAGGGCTTTTTTGTAGCAGGAACTCCTTTGCATGTTAGGCCACACACCCCTAATGTAGCCAATCCTGATGAGTTTCTGCTGTTGGGTGTGGCCTATTATGCTAATGAGTTCCTGCTGGGTGTGGCCAACTTGGGAGCCAGCCGGAACTCCATTCCTGCGCGTTCCTGCCCAAAAATAGCCCTGAAAGTACTCATCAAGAGATGTCCATAAGTGTTTTTGCCCTTGCATGCTCATTGGCAATCGTGGAGGCTACCTGCAATTTTCAGGGTGTTTTTTCCCCTGTAGCCCTGGCAAGGGAGAAACATGTGGCCTTTTAAAAAAATGAAGCCAGAGATTAAGAATTCTAAAGCTGCTGGATATCCTGTACCAATTGCCTTGTTATGTGTTTCACATCACAGTCATCATAATGCAGATTTCTAAAGTTTTTGATTAAATTATCTCTGAAATGTGTTTCCCTTTTCAGCTTTGATTTCAGTGTTTCATTACCTGAGGTGCAGAGGAGAACTCTAGATGTAGCAGTGAAGAACAGTGGAGGTTTCCTGTCCAAAGACAAAGGGCTGCTTGGTAAGGTGAGTTAAGAGGCATAAAAGAAACTACTGCATAACATGCCGGTGCAGGTAAATGTGGAATAAAATGTTATGACCCGAGTTGTTGCCCGTCAGTGAGGGCTTAATTTATCTGTTGCTTCATAATATTAAAAACAAAATGCTGAAGAGCTCAAGTCTGGCATAGAATTTCCCCCTTCCATTTAAATGACATGTCCTGTAATAATGCCTCATGCTCTTCGCTCAGGCAGTGTTATTGACGCAAGAGGATGCCAGCTCAAGGAACTCTTGCATGTGAATACGGCCATGAATATCAGTGTTAGTCATCATGTGCTAGCTGGCTTGACCAGGGGGTCAAAAGTGCAGCAAGGACGATCAGAATGAGCAACACTGATTTACCAGTTAAAGATCCTAGTAGCTCAAAGGCCTTCTTTGGAGCACAAATCAAATCAAAGGATGCTGTAATCTCTTTTGGAAACTGAATTAAATAACAGCTGCCCTGTATAATAATCTTCTTTCTGGTTCCATTGAGGCCCTTCGAGCAGCAGGATTGTTTTTGCTAGTTTAAACAAAACGGAATCTTGAGATTTTAATTATGACTTTATTTTGACAAGTGGCTGCTGGGTACTGTTGAGGAGGTGGAAGAATTAATTAATAGCAGCTGTCAGTAATAAGTCTCCTGGGGAGGACTGTGCTCAAAACAACTTAGGCTGAATGGTGTTGTTGCTAGACTTTTCGACAGCAAACTTCACATGTGTGAAAACAAGGTTACGTTTAAGTTCCTTTTTAAATGAGTGATTCTAATAGTCAACATGGCCCCATCTGTGGATACTTAAATCCATGGATCTGGGCCATGGTGACATAAAACAGATATTTCTGCAAACTTGGGGGACCCCCCCACCCGGTTTGCAGGAAAACTGAAAAATTAAAAAAGGGATTCAGATCTCCAAAAAGATGAGCATGCTCAGACAGTTCTCCTGCCACTGAGGCAGCAAAGCTGCAGGCAGGTGAAGGAGGAGGAGTAGCAGCTTGTCCCCATTGTGCCACCGCCTAGTGGGGCAGTGAATTCACAGGCTGGCGGGGCAGGTTCAAGAGGAGTTGCAGCACACACTCCCTCTGACTGGACAGCGGAAGAGTGGGGAGGAGCAGAAGTTGCGCCCCCCACCCCACTCCCAGGAGGAGAACAATCAGGCAGCTCTAGTGGAAGCAACCACAGGCAGACCGGCACCTGGGTGGGGGAAGAGGAGTTGTGGCTTGCTGACTGTCAGAGGCAGGCAACGTGGGCAAGGTGGGTCAGAAACAGGAGCCGCCACACCGCTTCTTATGGTTATGCAACAGTTTTTATTTGGCCTGTACAGCAAGGAACTTAAGGTGGTATATGTGGATTTCCCTTCATCATTTTAGCCTCACATCAATCCTGTGAGATCGCTTAAGCTGGGAGAAGGCAGGAAGGCTGAACCTAGAGGGGGCAGAGGAAGTGGTTGTGCTGGAAGCTGGCAGAACCAGCAAAGGCAGGGGGTGGGGTTGGGATTTCCCACCCCCACATGATTCTCACAGGTCCCCTGCTTGTTCTTTATATAAATGGTATCACTGTAGAGTTCAATGGCATAAGCTCCATCTACTAGTTATTCAGTGAGAAAGGTGCTCAGAGGCTGAGAATTAGCCTGACCCGCAGGGGGTTGCAGTCCCCTGAAGGGGCAGGTTTGCGTCCTGTGGTGGCTGCTGAATCTTAGCCTATTGTCGGAGATCGTTCTCCTTTGTGGCATATAGCAACTTGTTATCAGCTTCAACTAATGGGTTACGGCCATACCTTGAAAAGTGCGAGGAGATGGTTAAATAGACTGGGAAATTTTGGCAGCTGCAGTGCTTTAAGCATAAATTATGACAGAAACATGGACATTTTGGCAGCTGCAATGCTTTAAGCATAAATTATGGCAAAAACATGAATCTAAAATCAAGCAAGTCAAAATATGGCATAAAGAGACTGGATAACAAATGGTACTAACTGTAAGGCTGCATGGATCAAACCACAGACTATAAAATGTGGCCTGACAGAAACCCTGGTATGGTAGCTGGATGTACAACCGGTCTAAGAAACTGGGTTTTCTTGGTTCGCACCAAACCAGAATTTCAAGCTAGGGTTTGTAGGCGGTTTGTTCTTTATAGTAATCATGGTTTTGTTATGACATCTGAATTCCCATATCACATTTTGAGTGTCAGCACCCCATTCGGCCACAAATACAATAGCAGAGAGAAGACAGCCTCCCTGCCAGGAGGCAAGAACAACACAGGCAGCTGGCAAACCAGGATTTATTTTTTTACATTTTATAAATGAATCAAAGTTGGTTGCACAAGCTATGATTTTATTGTGATGTCTGAATGCGGCATGACGGAAGAGACAAGATTCATCAACGCTTTCTTGACCCAAAACAATGCTTTTAAAAATTATTTATTGAGACAGTGTAATTAAAATAGCACTCCTAGTAGACCACATTTAAAAAAAAATAAAAATAAAAACAATGCCATCTCATTCATTTTTACCGTTTGCCATACTGTTAGTCCTCCCCATGGATCAGCTGCTCCTGAAGCTAGGTCTGCACACTCATGAGGGTTTCTGTATCCAGGTTCTTGGGGATGTGTTGGGATTGCAGGTGCCAAAGAACTGTTAAGAATGATGTGCTGTGTTTCTTCTGCTCATCTTGACAGCATGTTTACTCAAGTCATAGATTGGATCAGGTGCAGATTCAGTGAATGGCTGTTTTACACAGCCTAGCAGAGAACATAAGAACATAAGAGATGCCAATGTTGGATCAGGCCAAAGGCCCATCCAGCCCAACACTCTGTATCACACAGTGGCCAGAAATACCAGTGCCATCAGGAGGTCCACCAGTGGGGCCAGGACATTAGAAGCCCTCCCACTGTTGACCCCCCCAAGCACCCAGAAGACAGAGCATCACTTGCCCCAGAGTCCCTATCTATACCTTGTGGCATGTGCTATATAGAGCAGAGGCGTCAAACTCATTTTGTTACAAGGGCCGCAACTGACATAAATGCCACTTTGTCAGGCTGGGCCATGGGTGCCATAAAACGTAATGTCAGCTACCAGAGATATAAACTGTATAAAGGACAGCAGCTGGTAAGCTCCGAGTTGGTGTGTCCTCACTGCAAGGCCCCATGCGCTGGGAGGGGGGTGCAAAGGAAAACCCATATGGGCAGACTGGGGAGCCAGCAGTGCAGCCCTGGGCAGATGCTCTCATGCTGCTTGACTGCTGCAGACGAGGTTGTTCTGCTGTGCTGAAGCCACAATTGGAGTGGCTCTGCCCACTCCCCCCCCCAACAGTCTCCTGTTCCCTCCTTTGCACTAGTTGCTTGCGGGCCACATAAGAGCCCTGGACGAGTGGATTCTGGCCCCCGGGCCTTATGTTTGACACCCCTGATACAGAGTATCGCTTAAACACTTAGCTTGTGAAACTCAGACTTCCTTTAGAGTTTCAGATGGAATGTGAGCAACCATGCTGTCTCCTGGCTCTTCATATCCAAAGTGCCCCTGAACTGAAACCAGAAAAATAGGTTGTTTACCTGCAGCTGGTGTTTGAGTGGTCATCTGTGCAGTCAAACTAATGGGATCTTGAGAACACGAAAAGATTTTTGCACACAAGCTTCCCATCCCCAGCAGCACTTGGAATTACTCCCACTAGCATGTCCATGTTTTTCTGGTCTTATTTTCCTCCTCTGTTTCTCGAACAGGTATTGATACCACTGGCTTTTGAAGAACTTGCCAAAGGTTGTACCCAGTGGTAAGTACAGTCCCACTGACCCTCTTTCCTTTTTAATTATTTCTGATAAAGTCAAGTCAAGTTTCTTGCTCTTTCTTTTTTGTGCACCTTGTAGGTATGATTTGACAGAAGATGGTACAAAGCCGCACGTCGCACCTTAGGCAGCTTTGGATGCCAGAAGTTCCTGTTTAGCATACTTTTTTGCCAACCTTTATATATTTTATCAGCATTGTTAACACAGATGTAACGATATTATTTTTATAATGTTTAGTTAATAGATATCCACCCCTCAACAGTTTTATAACACCTGGACATTTTATGTAGGTTTGTCAGCTTAATTATTGAACCTTCTTTTCTTCATTGGTTACAGCTATTTTAATGTGCAATAGGGGTTATAGAGTAACTGTTTCAGTGGAACCTTGTATGGCGCTTGTGCCCTCAATGGAAGTGAGAAGACAGTGTTCCTCTGTTTTGCCTCTCTTGTTTTGTATCTCACTGAGGACTCTGCCATGTAAATAGAAACTATTTTTTTATCATTCTTCCTCAACCATTTGAAGGCAGAAGATTATATCAACGAAAACTAGATATTTTCTTCTAAATGCATGCTACAAATTTAAGACAAACTGGGGGGTGGGCTTTGCTGCAAGACAGTCTTAATCTTACTAATGTAATCAATTTCTTTTTTCTAATCTGGGAGAAAATTAATGAAATGGTTAGCCCATATATTTCTTGCCTTAATGGCTTGCAAAAGAGGAGAGTACAAAATGTTAACTTTTTAATATTTATATAGAAATGTGTTCTTGGAAGTTCACTCAGATTATTCATATAAATCACAAATTCAGATAGTATTATAAGGAAATCGAACTGAAATGTATTTATAGATACTGTATAAAAAGAAGGTTATCGAGATCCTGAAATCACAATATGGATCTGGGATCTCTTATGATGCAAAAGCAAAGACTAATGTAGTACATTGTTTTGTTATGCACTTTTACAGTCATCGTTTCATGTTAGAATTTATTTACCCAACCAATACTACCAGAAATTTGTCTATGCAAAAGAAGGATCAAGATGGGATTTATGGATAAACCACCCCAGTAATCTAATAATTGTGGTGGTGTCAATTTGCTACAGGTATGAAACCGGGTTTTAGCACATCTGCTGTTAATCTCCTAAAATGCCAAATGTCTGTTTTAAATTGAAGCTCAAATTATAGAAAGCTAGCTTTGTGCTGACTATTTCCACAGTTGCTTCAGTGCTGCTGATTGTAGTGTTTGGAGCAGTACCTCTGTTTTGGGTCTGACTCATTAAAAGCAGTCACATTCCTTTTAAGCGCCACTGTATTATGCTGCAAGGACCAGCACCAAAGCAATTCACAGGAATGCCACCAATAAAAACTCTGCCTTTGGAAGCTGAAACTGCAGAGAAATTTTTTTTTTACGAATTGCATTAAACCAGCTTTTAACCTGGAATGCATTAAACCTGAATAATGCACTATAGAAAGTGAGAGAGCCATTTTAAATCAAGTTTATGTTCTGATGGGGTTTCTTCCCCCCATTGAATTTTACATACCTGGGAAACCCAAGAGCAGTTTGCAGGAAAACACCTAAGTGTTTTGACCATTATTTTTTTTAATTATTTTTTTATTATTCATTGTCATTTTCAGAATGAAATCAATGGGACTTTGATTATATCTACTTTTCTTTCATTCATCTTTTTGAACGTTTTTTTTTTCAGATAGTTTTAACAAAAATTGTACATCTGTTTTTAACCCAAGAGATGGTGCAATTCCCTCTGCAGTTAGCAGTTTCACTACCTTGGGTAAATATGCAATTGCTTTAAAAAAAAAAGTCACAAGAAGTTAGAGTCTTAGAATGGCTTCTAGCCACAAAAATTAATTTTTAAAGAGTGAGTAAACTTCTGGAATACTAGCTTTATTACTAAACTTGGAGAACCTTAATTGTAGCCTAGACCATTGGTACAATCCATAGCAGGAACTTCTCCTGCACAAGCACTGTTGAGCTTGCACAGAAGACATTTCTGTTGTGCCCTTTCTGCTACTGAGTAAACCAAAGTGCCTGTTACAAATGTAGCACTGTTCATGCCAAGTTCTAAAAACAAATTCATTTTTATTTGTTGGGCTGTACTTCAACATGACATATCTTTCCTTGTGTGTGTGTAAATATACACACACATACACACACTACCGCCCCTTGCGTAATATCAGAGTTGTGGGTTTGTTTTTTTGTTTTGGGGTTTTTTTTGCTTAAGGCTTCACTAGGCAGACTTTTACAACTTCCCTGGGATTTTAGTCTGTATGTAACATAATTGGGCTCTATGGAAAAAGCTAATCATAAACGTAAGCAATGGTCAACATGGTTCCTGTGTATTCTTAACTGACACACGTGTAACATCTGCTGAGTGATGTGATCACTTGTTAATGAACACCAACAAAGAGTGGGAGCTGCTGTAATCTAAGTTCTTGTTCTACAGAGACTTTTCTGACAGATTAGAAAACAGAGGATGCAGAAAATGGGAATCAAAGTATCTAGGCCCACTATTCTGACGTGGGCAAAATGGCCATCAGTAACAGAGAGCATTGCGTGATGGCACTTCATTATGCTGCAATTCCTAAATGGTTACTTTTGTTCCAGTAACAAGAGAGCTGGGGAGGGGGGGGGGGGGGCCTGCTACGTGTTTCCGTGTTTAACACAGTCTTTTGGATCAGAGGTTGAAATTGGCAGGTGGGTTCCACATCAAAAGCAATTATTTTGAAGAGTCTCTTCAAAAACTGGAAGTCTTGGGTGTGAGAATAGGATTTTATTTTTAGTTGGAATGTTTTGAGGGGTGGTAGACGCCACTAGTATGTAATGCTGGGAAACATTTTCAGCCCATTATTGCAGTACAAGTTGTCATCAGCCTTCCCCAGTATGTTGCCATTTTCTGGGTTGTTTTCAATACATGCAGGCCTTCTGCATGAGAGAGACTTGGGGTGATAAATAATGGATGCAAAACTAGGTTTCATATAATGTGAGAAGTTCCCTGAGTTTGCTCATGAAAATCTGGACGCAGAACTAAATGCTTATGAAGAAGAAATGCACTTTCTTTCTTTGGAAATCAGAAACTGCATGCAGGAAAATACTCCATCGGCAGTTTCATGGTGGTTCAGAGAGGAATTATGAGGAAGCATGGTTACCATTAGTAAATGAAAGACTGAATGTCGTCAGACTGGCTTTCCATGGGGTTTTTTCCCCCCAATCCTGTGCCTTAAAAAAGGAAAGCTTAACCATTTGTGTTTAAGCCCAAGCTTTTGTATTCTGTATTTACCGGTCTTTTTCTGTCATGTGCTGTTGAAACTGTTCAGTGCAGTGTTTTTGCTGGTGAGGAAAGCAGCACTTCACATTTGGAGCTCCTGTAATCCAAACACCAAGTCGGTGTGTTATCTGGGTCTCTGTGTTTTGAACCCTTTCTTTAGCAGACCTGCAGCAGCTGGTGAAAGGAAGAGAGTACCTTTTTTTTGCTCAAATAATTCTGCAATTGCATGTATTTATTCAATAAACAATTCATATGGAAATCGTTGTTTTGTATTGCCTGTTCCTTCATTCAGAGACCCAGGCTTGGTTCGAACGAAATGTTCCAAGTCCTCTATGCTACGAGTTGACGGCCCGGGAGACCTTTTGTAGTGCTTCAATATGTCAGCAATATGTAGTCAACAGAGCTCTTTCTCAAGTAGTCATTAAAACACGTAATAGCATGTGTGCATATTTAGATAATTTCTCCAACATCCAGAATCTAGTCTTAAAGGCTACATTTAAAAAGATAGCCCCTCTGTCAGTAATATGTACATTTTCCCTAGCAAGGGGAAAGGGCAACAGACCCTTCCTGTTAGGAGTAGCTAAAAGTGGAGCACTTACTTGGTATATAACTCCATTATAGTAGCTACAAAATAACACATGGGCCTCTGTCCCTGCTGCCACCACAAGGACACAGTTCATCATTTGAAGGGAATCGTTTGTAACAACCCTTAAAAGTTTGCTAATAGCAAAATACTACAGTGTTCTATTGTGGAAGACCCCCTATATTTTGGCCCACGTAAGGTTTTTAAATCGTTTGCACACTTTTTAACCACTGGAAATTGGATCCAAGCTTAAAAAGTGAACAAAGGTTAGGGGCCACAGCATATGTAATCTGGTAATCTACATCGTGAATCTTCCGTTTGACTCTAATGCCGAAGCCACCACGCTGTAAGTCAATAACGTCTGGGTAGAAAGTCCAGTGTTATGGATTTCCTAAATTATGACTTTCTTCTGTTTGCTTATATATGCATCTTTCAAAATTAGAGGCATAAGGAACTGAGAACATGCCGTGAGTTTGTGCACTCCCTCCTTTCCTTGCAAGCTTCAGTTCCCTCCTTTTTAGCATTCTAGGGAAATCATAACTTGCTGTTAAATCATACTTTGTTGACTTAGATATGTGCCGATCCTCTAAACCAATTTATAAGTCCTAGGAGTCTGAGGCTCAGACCTACTGTTACATTCAAGCTGGCTACAAGTCTTTAATATTACAGTAGGTATGGCTAAGTAAACATCATTGACTGTTAACACAATTAATTAATAGTGCATTACCTTTGTAGTAGTGCGTTACTGTACATCGATTACTGAAATTAATATGGCTTGCCTGTGGTATAGGAGCTGATGAAAACAGTTCCAGTTTAGGAAATATCTGTTGGTCACTTTCAAAAACTCTTTACTGATCTGATTTCTGTGTGGATTTTTTCTTTCTCCTGCTGTTTAGGTGAAAATGATTTTCCTTATAAATTTCCTTATTTTCCTGATAAAAAGCGGCAAAGTTACTTCCTAGCATTTCAAGAAGTGATCTGTGACTCACAAAAGTTTATGCTGAAATAAATGTTGGCCTTCCTGAAAAGGAAACATTTTCCAGAACTGGGTTCTATTGTGACAGTATTACAGTCTTGAAGATAGGCTGAAACAGTAGATGGCAAACATAAGATACCATATCTTTAAATTCCTGATTTTGTGGCGTGGCGTGACACTGCCTGGTAAATTTGGCCATGCCGGTGCATATAAGGAACACACATGACGCTGCCTTATACTGAATCAGACCATGGGTTGATCAAGGTCAGTATTGTCTACTTAGACTGGCAGCAGCTCTTCAAGGTCTCAGGCAGAGGTCTTCCATATCTCCTGCTACTGCTATCCTTTTAACTGGAGGTGCCGGGGACTGAACCCAGGGCCTTCCCTTGCCACAGCTGCTCCCCATTATCACCACTGCCTCCAGGCCAAATCAGGCTCTTCATCTGCTCCAAAACTTCAATCTTGATCTAACGAAACTCTTTTACACTATTCAGAAACTAATGTCCTTTGATTCCTGTTAATACAAGTAGAATACTACAGACTATTATTAAATGTCTCTCCAGTAAAATACCACATGCACACACTTTAGTTCTTATACGGAAAGTAAATTGTGCAAATATACTTTCTGCTGAAAAAGTGAAGGATAACTTGATGGGTATAGCTATGAGTGTCTTGAAGCACAATATAGTTTCTGCTGTAACAATACTGGCTATAGCAGTAATAAGAAGCAGAAGTAGTGTACTGTATTCTGGAAATAATATAGATTAACTTTTGTTGGTTTTTTTGCAATTTCGCATGAGAATGACTTTCCAGTATCATTTTTTTTCACAGTGAAAAGCAAATATAGCCCTGTATAAAAAGGGGTCCAGAGGGGAACTGGGAAATTAGAGGGTAGTTAGCCTAATATCTGTCCCAGGCAAATCAGTAGAAACTGTAATCAAAGAGAATTATTCGGCACATAGAGGGAAAATCAACGTGGCTTCTGCAAAAGGAAGTCCTGCCTTACCAGTTCGTTGAGCATGTTAACAAGCATGTGGATGAGCAGGGGTTGGAAAATGGTCAGTAAAATCAGTAAAAGTTAGTTTTTTCATCTTGGTCAGTAATTTGTCAGTTTTTCAAAAAATTGGTCAGTAAAGTCAGTATTTCTTTGTTTTTTGTGAATGCAGTTTGTGTTTTTCTGTTTTCATTCCTGCATTTTTGGGGAAACATGATGACTTCCCAGTGAGAAGACAGATTGTGTTCAGTTTAGTTATGAAGTACTTTAAGGACTTTGTTCTGAAGAGTAAATGGATTTGGTGAAATCTTCCACAAAGTATAGAAACATAATTAACTTCTTAAAACATGAGACAATGAAAGTAGAGGTGATGAATATTGTGGGATTCAACATGACACAGCTCATGCTAGAAGGAGTTGAGAAAGTGATGGAAGAAGAGTACAAGGGGGGAAAATGCTTGTGGATGCAGTGCAGAAAACTGTTGAGAAACGAAAGAGTTCATGAATAACTTTATTTATTCAATTTATACCCAGCCCTCCCTGCTGGAGCGGGCTCAGGTTGGCTTACAAAGAGATTAAACATATAGGTAACAAATTATATACAATCTTAAAACAAATAATAAAACTCTACATTATCATAGTAAATGATCAGGTACTTATAACAATGTTTATAGAAGGTGGAACCAATAATAGTGTTGTAATCAGATGATCTATATTGGTGGTTGGCTCGTCGTGGTCTCTATATTTAGGCAACAGCACAGGCTGTTGGTGGTAACCCAAGGACCAGGGCACTGTCACTTCTCAGTTATTTGATGTTATTTGGTGCAGCTCCTCAGTCAAAGGCCTGGTGGAAGAGCTCTATCTTGCAGGCCCTGTGGAACTGTAAAAGGTCCCAAGGGCCCTGATCTCTTTTGGGAGCTCGTTTCTCCAGTACGGAGCCACCACTGAGAAGCCCTGACCCTGGTTGTGGCCAGCCTGGCATCTTTAGGACCTGGGAGGCCAATTGATTTTGTGACCCTGAACGCAGTGCTCTGGGGAATGTGTGGGGAAAGGCATTCCCTCAGGTATGTGGGCCCCTGACCATAAAGGGCTTTAAAGGTAAGTACCAGCACCTTGAAGCGAATTCAGTATGCTATCGGCAGCCAGTGCAGTGCTTTCAGCACAGGCTGGATGTGCTCCCGCATAGGGAGGCCCATCAGAAGCCTGGCTGCAGCATTTTGCACTAGCTGTAGCTTCCGGATTTGGGTCAACGGCAGCCCCATGTAGAGTGTTACAGTAGTCCAATCTCAAGGTGACTGTTGCATGGATCACTGTTGCCAAGTTGTTGCATTCGAGGACGGGAACCAACTGCCTAATCAGCCAAAGGTGGTTAAAGGCTGATTTGGCAGTGGCTGCTACCTGGGCCTCCATTGTTAGTGAGGCATCCAGGAGCACTCCCAAGCTCCTAACCTCCGGTGCTGGCACCAATGGCACCCCATCGAATGTCGGAAGTAGGATCCCTACCCTTGGGCCACTCAGACACAGGACCTCCGTCTTCATTGGATTCTATTTCACTTGGCTCAGTCAGAGCCAACCAGCCACAGCTTGCAACGCCCGGTCCAAATCTTCCGGTGCATTTGGTGGCCACCCAACAACAGATAGAGCTGGGTGTCAGCCGCAACCTGGTGACATCCCAGCCCATGCCTCCGGGCAATCTGGGCAAGGGTGCGCATGTAGATGTTAAATAACATTGGGGACAGCACTGCCCCTTGGGGCACTCCACAAATCAGTGGGTGCCTTTGGGATAGCTGCTCCCCTAGTGCCAC